GGAGAAGGGGGGCGGCGCCCCCCTTCCCTTCTCTTCTCTCCCTGCCTTTCCCCCTCCTAGTAAGAGTAGGAAAGGGAGGAATCCTACTCCTACTAGGAGGAGGATTCCTCCTCTAGGCGTGCCAACAAGGGCCGACCGGCCTCCCCCTTGCTCCTTTATATACAGGGGCAAGGGGGAACCTCTAGACACACAAGTTGATCACAAAGATCTCTCCCAGCCGTGTGCGGTGCCCCCCTCCACCATAATCCACCTCGGTCATACTGTAGTGGTGTTTAGGCGAAGCCCTGCTGCGGTAGCTTCATCAACATCGTCACCATGCCGTCGTGCTGACGAAACTCTTCCCCGAGCTCTACTGGATCGTGAGTTCGCGGGACGTCACCGAGCTGAACGTGTGCTGAACGCGGAGGTGGCGTATGTTTGGTACTGAGGATCGGTCGATCGTGAAGACGTACAACTACATCAACTACGTTTTCATAACGCTTCCGCTTAACGGTCTACGAGGGTACGTGGACGACACTCTCCCCTCTCGTTGCTATGCATCACCATGATCCTGTGTGTGCGTAGGAATTTTTTTGAAATTACTATGTTCCCCAACAGCTAGATCCTCTTCGGTGTTCCTGGGAGCATGGTGCAAACCATATTTGGGTATTTCTGATCCCTTGATTATGGAGGGTTTATCACTACGAGATGGGGTTCGTTTCGCTTCACTTCGAGGATTCTCACATGTGGTAATGGAAACTGGTTGCTTGGAGATGGTGACGCTCTGGAACACTCGCCACAATTCTCGGTCAATTGTCGCTCCTTTATTGTTAGAGATAGGAGAGCTATGTAATAATTTTACTTTCTTTGATATTCAACATGTAAACAGGTCAGCTAATGACCCGGCGCATCTTTGTGCAAAGCGCGCTTGCACTTGGAATGTGACCGATAACTGGCTTGAGGAGACTCCTGGCTTTTTGGTGACCAGCCTATTGGCTGATTGTCCCAAGAATGCCTCCATATGAATAAAGCTCTCTGGTTTCCCCGCAAAAAAAGAACTTTTATCCTCGATACATCTTCATCCAACGGCTCAAAACAGATTGGTTACTTGTTCATCTATCACCGCCTCACCCCTCCTCCCTCGACCTCGATCATTCATACCCACCACCATGTTGGTCGCCTTCCTGCCATCTCTCTTGTCTCGCCCCAATGAACAACCCCCTTCACCCCTGACCCCGCACTAAATTTCTTCCTCGCCTCCACCTGAGATGTCGCAGGTCGCTACCGCTCATAGCGTCGTCACCGGCTACGGTGAGGGCCTAGCCCGGCCTCGGCAAGGCCGACACTCGACGCTGCCGCTCCTTATGTCATCCCCGCCTTGGCCATGTGCTGCGGGGAATTGACTGATGACACAAAATTTTCAACCACCTGATGCTTAGCAAAACTGAAAACTTCAAGGAGCAGTAGCTCCACTTCGATCCCCAAATAAGGCCTAGTAACTTGTTTAATCATTATTTTTCTATTGTATACAATAAATATACACGGTGTTAGAAAAAGTCGAAAGGGAAGCATAAGATTCACCTCAATCCAAAAATTATGAAAAGGTTGTACAAGTAACAAAAAACATTTGAAAGGTACCCTGCCATGCCATGCACGGACTCTCGATTGCCTCGCGATTCGTGAAGTAGTTGAATCCCGCACGAGGTCTCATCATAATCGATACCCTTTTGAAAGGTATTGCGAAAAGTTTTCCTTTAGGCTAGAGAAAAGAACACCAAAGACACCTCACCTCATTGGTCTTGCAAAGAGAATGAACAACACACTCACAAAGAGGGTCACAATGATGCTCTCTCATGCAAAGTTACCTAATTCTTTCTGGGCTGAACCTATCTTCATCGGTTCCTCTTGTAGGTGACATTCCTCAGAGAATTTGTTCACTGAAAGATGTATCATTCAAGCACTTGAAGATTTGTCCACAAAGAGAATTGCTCTCCTCAAAAAGACACTGAGCAAATCTTTTGTCATGTAGGATTTAGGACGAGTTAAGAAAGAACTAAGCTTCAAGATCTCCCGTGTTAGATCAAAGAAACTGCTTTGGCTCTCACATGAAAGATACAGCGAGAATGTGCTTGAAAGATTCGATATGAAATATGCGAAGATTGTTATCCTCTGCTTGCATGCCGCAAGAAACTCTCCGCTTGCATGCCACCAGAAATTGACTATTGAGCAGTGTCCTACAAGCAAGAAGGAGAAAGATGAAATGAGTAAAGTACCATATGAATCTCATGTGGGCCGTTTCATGTATGCCGTGGTGTGCACTAGGCTTGATATTGCCTATGCAATTGTAGATTTTAGTCGGTTCATAAAAATCTAGGTAAAGCTCACTAGGAAGGAGTGAAGTGGATTCCAGGTATCCAAGGGAGCTTCTACATCTTGTTTATGCTTTGAAGGTGGTGATCATGTATTGCAGGGTTGTGCATATTCAAATTATGCCGGTAACAAGGACCGTAGGATGTCCACATCTAGATACCTAATGACTTATGCAGGGGAAGCGATGTCATCGCACACAAGATTGCAGAAATGCGTTCCCACATGAACTACAAAATTTGAGTACGTCGTCGGAGTTGATGGTGGTATGTAAGTTTTATGGATGAAGAACTTCTTGCAAGAACTAGGCATGAAGCAATAGACGTATTGGCTGATCGAACTTGCTCTGTGTCGTGCTAAGTTATGGCTTTTGTGACTGACTAACAATTTGTGAGTTATTAACAAAGAAGTGGTGATAAAATTACTTTATTTTTGTTGCGCGGTGTTCAGATCACCATCGATTGTGCGTTAATTTCCAACATTTGTTTGTAATCACAATATCTACATCAGACCGACAAACTCAAAAGTGCACGTCACATACATTTATCTCGGAGCGGATTTTTTGGCGGGTCGTATCATGCTGTTTTTTTTTCGTGCATGCGAATATATTGCTCCATGATGTACCTTTTTTTATCAAATAATATAGCACCTTTATGTTGTCAAGTAAAAAAAAACATTGCAAGTTTTTTGAACGTAAAAACATAACGTATTTGTCCATCCCAAATTATTAATTTTATGACCGCAACAAATACAAGAGCTCCATCCGGTGTGAGGTTTGCCATCATGAATACAGAGTGGATTTTTGGATCCCGACCTCTGTGGAGTTGAAAAAATAATTAAATTATTTAGATACATCCTTATCTATATGTGTAAATTTTTTTAGATTTTTTCGTAACTTCAAAATTTGAGTTTTTATAATTTCAAAACTCGGGGTCCACAAGGCCGGAGCTCTATTAGCAATTATCGCCACGGCCACCCAGCCAACTTTATTTTCAAGCCACCAAAGACACATTGGCCAAATCCGTTAACCATTGTCAGAGCCGGAAGAAATATATCCAGTTATCCACGCAGGTTCGCATTAGCATATCTTGCAGTGCAAGGGTGCTTGGATACAAGGGACTATTTTTAGTCTGACTAAAAATAGTCTCTTTTAGAGGCTAAAGTTCCAAGCACCCCTGACTAAAGAGAGGCTAGGACTAGTCTTGAGGCTAAAATCTTTTAGTCATGGGAAACCTACTAAAATATGTATTAGCTCTCTCTCTCCTCATTTAATTCCTCTCCTTAGTTCTGGATTGGAGGGTTTGGAGGATAATAAATGCTCAATAACTAGATTTTAATCTCTTTAGTATTTGGATCCAAGCATGGGTGAGACTAGCAAGTTTTAGTCCCACTACTTTTAGTCATGGGACTAAAATGTATCCAAGCATGCTCTATACTCCTCCGGCCTCCAGGGCAAAGCTTGTAAATTTGTTTTTTTGCTCCTCCGCGGCGAAGGACGGTCACACAGAAAATCTCTACTCAGCAGCAGTAATCCTAGCAAATAGAGAAACCCCGCGCCTGGGACGTGCGACAGCACGTGATGTGCACCGGTTAGGCCACATGGGACTTGGAACAGTGATCTGATCCATCCGTCCAACCATCCAAAGGAGCCTACGTGCCCCTTCGTACGCTGCTACTAGTACTAGAAGAGGTCACGTGCGATGGCGGAAATCCAATTATCATTTTTCTGCGGCATATACTGTGTGGCATTGACTGGCCAATAGGAATGGCCGGCACTGCTTCCATTTCCTCTCGTCTCTCTGCGACGAGAAAAGAAAAGAGCGATCGGATTTGAGATGCTTCCAAGACTGTCGCAGCGCTTGCCTGTCCGGCGCGAAATGTACAAGGTATTTCCCACTTTGATTTTTGGCGGAAAAAGGGGTCGGGTGTAGTAAAGGAAATACTCCCTTTGTTTTTTTTTACTCCGTATATATTCTTTTTTTTGCGGGGATTTTACTCCGTATATTCGATTTGTCGTAAGTCAAATTTTCTAATGTTTGACCAAATATACATTAAAAAATACCAACATCTACAAAAGAAATCGAGGGTTTGACTTTAGACAAACCTCGATATGTAGAGTAAAAAGAAACGGAGTGAGTATTTTGAAGATGGAAAGGGTTAAAATTTAAAAGAGGCCGCAAAAGATCCGCGAGTAAACCGAGAAAACAAACGGAGCGAGGGCAGTGGCTGGCGGAAGTGTCACGGGCGTGCCTTGAAAGTTGGATCTCAAGACGGAACTCCCGATCCCTCCCTCCGAAGCGAAACACCCAGACAGACATACAGACGCAGCGACGACACATATTCCCTCCCACCACCCCCACCGCCCACTCCTCCCCCGCCCCAGCCACCGCGCACGCTCCCCGAGGCAGACCCACTCGCCCGCCTCTCTCCCTTCCTCCCTTCCTTCTTCCCTCCGTATTCACCAGTCACCACCACCCTGGTGGTTAAAGCCAGAGCCACCACCTCAAACTCACACCCCGAGTTAGAGTTAAAACCCCGAGCCGAGCTTCCCTAGTCCTGGTAGTGGAGTGGTTTAGAAACCTCCGCCGACTCTTCCTCCAACTGTTTCAGTGCAGTAGGCCCTCTAGCCCGGCGGGTGAGCGGGAGCGCGCGCGATGGAGCGGTGCGGGAGCTGGTCCGAGTCCGACGCCGCGGCGCAGGCGGCAGCGCAGAAGGCCGTGCCGGCGCCGTTCCTGACCAAGACGTACCAGCTCGTCGACGACCCCGCCACCGACCACATCGTCTCCTGGGGCGACGACCGGGTCTCCACCTTCGTCGTCTGGCGCCCGCCGGAGTTCGCCCGCGACATCCTCCCCAACTACTTCAAGCACAACAACTTCTCCTCCTTCGTCCGCCAGCTCAACACCTACGTAAGCGCCCGCCGCCGTTTCCGCTTCTGTTTCTTGGCTGGTTGGGTTCACGACGCATGCATGGAACGGTGGCTGACTGACGGGGTGTGGCAATGTCGCAATGCAGGGGTTCCGCAAGGTCGTGCCGGAGCGGTGGGAGTTCGCCAACGAGTTCTTCCGCAAGGGGGAGAAGCAGCTGCTCTGCGAGATCCACCGCCGGAAGACGTCCGGGTCCACCACGTCGTCGTCCCCGCCGCCCTTCTTCGCGCCCCCGCACTTCCCGCTGTTCCACCCGGGCGTTTCGGTCGCGCATCACCACCAGCAGTTCGTGGGCGAGGACGGGGCAATGGCGGCGCACGCTGGCATGGGCGTCCCGTTCATGCAGCCGCATTGGCGCGACCAGGGCGCGCCTCGGCTGCTGGCGCTGGGCGGCCCCGCCGCGCCCTCGCCGGGGGCGGACGGCAACGGCCGCGCGTCCAGCGCGGCGGTGCTGATGGACGAGAACGAGCGGCTGCGGCGCAGCAACACGGCGCTGCTGCAGGAGCTGTCCCACATGCGCAAGCTCTACAACGACATCATCTACTTCGTGCAGAACCACGTGCGCCCCGTGGCGCCCAGCCCGGCTGCGGCCACGTTCCTCCAGGGCCTCGGCAATGGCATGCAGCCGCGCAAGATGCCGCCGGCCAGCACCGGCGCCGGGAACGGGCTCAACACCTCCGGCGGGAGCACGACGTCCAGCAGCTCCCTGACCATCGCCGACGAGCTCTCGCCTCCGCCCAACCACCTCTCCGCGGAGAAGAGCGGCGGAGAGGCCGGCAGCAGCAGCGCGGCTCTGTCGGCGCCCACGAAGCTGTTCGGCGTGCACCTCAGCGCCGCCCCGGTCGGCGCGGGGAGCAAGAGACCGCCTTCCCCCGAGGAGGAGCTGCCGTCCACGCCCCCTGCCACGAAGGCCCGGCTGGCGCTCGAGAACGACGACCTGAGCCTGTCCGTGGCGCCGCCGTCGCAGCCTTGCGCCGCCTCGTCTCCAGCTAGGAGTTAGCTAGCTACATAGCTAGTTAGTATTAGCTCACTCACCTAGCAAGCAAGCAAGCAAGCAGGGTAGCATCCGCGTTGCTGCATGCAACCGCGGACCATTTTGCTGTGTTCTAATCCGACCGACGTGTTCCGTTTCCTACTACTGTAGACCAGTTGTTAGTTTGTTGCTCCCTCCCTCCTAAAGTTAGCCAGTGCTTAGCTTAGCTAGGGTTCTGTCTGTAGACTCTAATCGCCCAGCACTCAGAGCAAGTGCCATCATGTGCCCGAACTAATCGAAGCCAATCCGGTGTTTTTTGTACAGTACTGCTCTGAATCTGATAACCAGTTTGTAGTAGCAAGCAGCAGATGAACTGTGGCGCCGCTGATGGCAAATCTTTTGTTTGCACGGCAAGTCCGGGAAGTCAGCAGCATCCTCGATTTAAAATCGCTTTCTTTGGTTGCCTTTGCCTTTTGCGTGCGCTCGGCGAGTCAAAGATGGGGAAAGGCTGTTGCCTGTTGCATTGCAGCCATTGCGGCAGGCTCGAGCCCATTGGTCACACGCACACACGCACACACAGGTCGTAGCTCACCGAGCGAGTCTCGCTTGTTTCTGAGACGTAAGGTAGAGTACTGCATGCCGTAGAGTAGTACCAGTACGAGCACTAGCTACTTGTAGGTTGTAGCCCTAGGCTGGTTGGCTGCTTGACATGTGAAGATAGAGAGCAGGAGTACGTAGGCTGCGGAATGCATGCCCGGGAAACCCGAGAAGCGGCCGCGTGATGATTAGAGAGGGCTGAGCCTGGAGAAGATCCTGAGAAGTCTAATCCGGAGCCGGAAACGTAGAGGCCGGGCAAGCAAGAGATCTCCTCTGGCTGCTGCTTCCCTCTCTCTCGGGCGAGGGGAGGTGGCATCGGCATCGGGCTCTGTTTCTTCCACTGTTCGCTTCTGCTGTTTGTTGCTGCTGCGAGGGCGGCAGCAGGCAGCAGGGGGGGGTGGGGTGGCGGGGAGAGGAGAGGAGAAGAGAGACCAGGCCGAGCCAAGGCGGGCGGGGTTCCCACGATATTCCGAGAACCCAAAAGGGAGGGAGGTCGTCCGGTCCGGAGGACTCTGACTGCCTTCCGTTCCCTCGGAACGTGATAGTTCTGCCAGATTCCCCCGGTCCGCAGCATGCAGGCGCAGGACCCCACGCCGGTGTAGTTCCCTCCGCTCTTCCACATGCCCCTTTTCTTCACTACTAGGTACACGTACCGGCTTACACGCATGCCTGCTGCAACCAGCATGAAAAAAGCCTTTCCGCTGTACCCCCAGCGGCCCCTCTTTATAGCTTACGTTTTCCTTCATCTTTTCTTCTCTTTTTCTCTTTTAGTATTTTGCTATTCTCTTACTGGATGAGTCTGGGAAATACTGCTTCCGTTTCGTCTGTTATACTTGTTGATGTACTAAAATGTGTAGTCTAATCTGACTCATGCCATA